TTTCGAGATATTTGACTGGATCACTTCAGATGGTCCATCCTGTATATAGTTCTTACAATATTTATAAGCAGGAACATTAATTTAATTTAATTTAGTTAATTTTAATTCGAATTTTAGGCACCTGCTTCCGATTAGCAATAAAATATACATTTATTTTTCACACAGTTTATAATACCCACACAGAACACATCATCCATTAAACGTCCTCTTGACCTCTATAAATCCATGCGACATATATCTCTACGATGCACAGAGGTTTAAAAACGTGACATAAACTCCAAAATGTAATTTTTTAAACAAATTATTTTATAATAAGTTAAAATCAGTTTATGAAAACAAAAAAGACCTAAATACAAGATTTAATTATTTTATTAAAGGATATATTAGGTATACAACTTTGCTTACGCCGTTTCCCTATAGATGGCTTTAGCGGTAAGTGGTGGTCGAAATAAATAGATCATAGACGTTATACAATAAACTTGGGCATCTGTTAACATAACTCCATAGAAACATTAGTCGTCTCCATCATAAAGTTATTCTCGATTGAAAATGTCAGTTTACGAGCCAAATTCTCGTCATTTGCGGGAGGTTTTAATTTTCTGCTTCAATATGAAGAAATCTGTGGATGAGGCTCATCGAATGTTCTCAAATACTTATGGTGAGGCCGCTATTAGTGAAAGAACGTGCCATGAATGGTTTCAACGCTTTAAGAACGGTTATTTTGACGTCGAAGACCGGCATAGCGGTGGAAGAGAGAAGGTTTTCGAAGATGCAGAATTGGAGGCATTACTTGATCAAGACTCGTGTCAAAATCAACAAGAATTAGCACGATCATTGGGAGTGACGCAACAAGTCATTTCAAAACGTCTCAAAGCCATGCGAATGATTCAGAAGTAAGGAAATTGGATGCCGTACGAGTTGAAGCCGAGAGATGTTGAACGGTGTTTGTTTGCTTGTGAACAGCTGCTTGAAAGGCAAAGACGGAAGGGATTTCTACATCGCATTGTGACTGGAGACGAAAAATGGGTTCCTTACGATAACCCCGAGCGCAGAAAATCATGGGGAGTTCCCGGTCATGTTTCCACGTCGACGGCCAAGTCGAATATTCACGGCTCCAAGGATTTGGTGGGACCAGCTTGGCGTAGTGTACTATGAACTGTTAAAACCGATTGAAACAATCACAAGCGATCGGTATCGAACGCAATTGATGCGTTTGAATCGAGCATTGAAAGACAATCGGCCGCAATACAACGAGAGACACAGTAAAGTGATTTTGCAGCATGACAATGCTTGACCCCATGTTGCGAAAGTGGTCACGATGTACTTGAAAACGTTGAAATGGGAAGTCCTACCCCACCCGCCGTATTCTCCAGACATTGCTCCCTCTGACTATCACTTGTTTCGATCAGTGGCACACGGCCTGGCTGACCAGCACTTCCGGTTTTATGAAGAAGTAAAAAATTGGATCGATTTGTGGATCGCCTAAAAAATGACCAGTTTTTTCGACGCGGGATTCGCTGCCCGAAAGATGGGAGAAAGTTGTGACCAGCGATGAATAATACTTTGAATCATAAATATATAACCAGTTTTTTACAATAAAGCCTCGAATTTCGGAAAAGAAACGGCGGAAGCAAAGTTGTACACCTAATATATGGTATAATTATATTATTATATAATGTCGTAACATGATTTTTGAAAACTAATGACGAAGGCTTTGATGTAATAAAAAATAATTATATTGTATCTAATAAAGGTGATTTATGTCTCTTAAGAGGGCTCAAAAATGAATCGAAACATGTAAGTGCGTTACTGTAATACAGAGTTTTGTGTCACGTCTGTATATTATTTGCCCAACGACTATCGCGTCCGACTCCTATTGCCCTGTCTCCTTTCTTTTAAAAAATAATTAAATAAAAAAAATATATGTATTTAGTTATGTATTACTAAAGTAGCAGTATAAATGAATTACATTTTTATATATGCTATTTTAATATCTCCTTAATTTATTATTTTGACAATAAAAATTTATATCTTTATGTCCTATTCGATTCTTTCTAAAACTGGACCACGTCTTCGCTCAATAATTCGTTGAAGTTGATTGTTTTGAGCTGCTCTTCTTCTTTGCATTACCCGATCAAGTAACTCTCATAATTCACCTCTGTCACAATTTCGATCCATTGTTTCAACATTTGTATTTTCTCCCTTGTATGGTCCCACTACAACAACAGGACGTTTCTTTTTACATTCTTCACATAGAAGAGGGAACTATGCGCACAAAAGATAAAATAAAGTATAATAATAAAAAATTCTGCCATAAATTAAAAGATAAAGAATGTCCTATACGAGTCAACGTAATTAATAATGTCTTAATTATTTTGTAATGTACAATAAATAATAAACATTAATGCGTATGTACGAGGTGTGATCAAAAAGTAAGGTGACTTTTTGAATTTCGCACGCTCTGTACACTGTAATTTCACAATTTTTTTTTTGTGTTGGTACACTCGTCACGATCATATGTTCACAGTTTTTTACTATATAGCATGTGTTGTTTTTATGTGAGAGGCATAAAGGTTAGACTCGTGTTTGCGTGCTC